GAAGGAAGAGGAAACTAAAGAATTACATCACCCAAGTAAACCAGGAGTTTGATTATTGGACCTAGAAAAATTATAGAAGTTGTGCTTGAGAACATGTCCGAATCACTCTTAATATCAGATGTTCAAGAGAAATAACACAACAAACATAATCTATAATGGCTCTACAAGGAATCTAGTTAGAAGAAGCACCAGCCTCATAAGAAGTTAGTACGAAGCTCCCACCGGATCGTGTATGTACTAGATGTGAGAGTATAATAAAGCTTCAAGTTATGGACATGAATTATACCTAGGTAGAAGGGAGGTCATAAAAGAGATAGAAGACACAATGCAAGATTTTAAGGTAAGTAAGGTAAAGGTGAACAACGTACGAGATACTCAAAGGCAGAAGATTGTGAATAGTCCATACTTCGGATAGAAGGCTATAAGCACGGGGATCCAATAACCGGGAATGATAGCGGCATCGTCGGTGACATGTCTTCCAGCCTATGGTTTCTAAGTACTGAGAGATATAGTTAAGAGAATAGAGAAAAGTTGGAGACGATGTGATGTCTCACTCGATGTTCCAGAATAACATAAGGAAATCTATGGTGCAAGCAAGTTGAAGGAAAGTTTATAAATGGATATGTATAGGTCGCAAGCTAAAGAATGGTAAAACGATAAAGTTTTAAGGAAACATGAGTAAGGATGAGGAAAGGCAAGTGAAAAAAATGTGACGAGAATGGATAAGTCTTTAAGATTAAACCCATGAAAACAAGAAGAGCAGACAATTTCTCTATGTTATACAAAGCTCACTATAGCCGTAATGAACTCAAAGGAGTCTAAGATTAATAACATTTAGAAGGAATGAAATGCTGACCTAGTAATAAAATGAGGGTATAATTGTGACAGATAAAGGATGACGTTTGGGCCTTTGTTTGAATAATGATTTGAAAAAAAAGAAGAGAAGAAAAAATTTCACTGGCGGCACGAAATTAGGATACCCCCATAAGGTGAATCACATTGAGACACTATGAAATACGATTATAGGAATAACTTCGAATATTCCTTGAGGTAACATAAGCCCCAGGGGTAAAGTATTACATAAGGAGTTTCAAGTTATCAATGGTATATTGTAGATCAATATTAAGGTGAATCAATAATGGATGGACAAAAGTCACAAAGTATGAGATGAGATTAGGCCGTCATTCTAAAGATGAGCAGTAATGAGGAATCATTAAAGGACTTAAATTTATAAATATGAAATAAGCAATGAGAGTAAGCTGGGATTTAGTAGCAGACTTCAACAACAATAAATTAAAGTACGAGTTATGATAGTAAATTCATACAGATGGATAAACAAACCTATGCGATAAGATATAGCAATATTCGTGAATTCAACAAAGTACCAAGTGAAGAACTTCAGTATACTCATATATGCCTAAATGGATATCTTATCAAGCTCTACATATGAAACCTAGAGATTGGACACACTTACAAGGTCAAATTTGTACAGACTGCATGATGAAATTTAGCAACAGTTACGAGATTGGAAGGATTCCGACTACAAGTTATGGTGTGAGAAAGAGGCCTAAGGGGGGAATGCCCTGGATTTTGGACTTATTCATAGAAAAGTCGCCTAGATAGCAAGGGAATTTCTAAAATATTCGGAAGATATAAGTTATGAAAATGATAAGTGCATTAGTCAACATTCGAGGATGAATGTTCCAAAGGGGGGAATAATGTTATACCCCGCAGTATTACGTCGATGTTATGCTCTACAGTAATATATTACGATGATGTTACCCCCAGCAGTATTACATTACGGTGATGTCACGCTTCGCAATATTAAGTTACTGCGATGTTGCACCCTAAAGTATTATGCGTTAAATTTGTCGTAAGGTAATTGACATAAGTCCAAGTAAAAGATTATTTGGAGATTATAAGGATTATGCTATTTCACAAGCGATTGGCAAATTTATGAAGGTGAAAGGAGGAACAAGTCAAAGAAAATGAATTTTGTCCAAGTTTGGAATTTTGGGGTAAAATACGGCCCGAGCTAAAATACCCGGTATTTATGGACTAGTGTCATGCGAGGTACCACATGACCATAATAGTAAGGTGTATAAGGTATGTTAAAAGTGGGTAATATTTTATGTAAGTGGGAATAATTCTCAATTTTGCGGGTAATTGATTAATTACCGGGTAACGAGACATTACCTAATTAATTTGGGATATATTTGGATAAGATTAAACCCCACCCCACCCCACGTGGCAGCAGATGAAGGAACATTTAAGTGACTTGTCTTTAGACAAGCTAACTAGTGGGCACATGGACAACAAATCTTAAGGAATTTATACACGTACGGAGTAATTATCTTAGCCATCTTTATCTTGTCTTTCAAGACTATCTAATTCATTTTATAACAAGGAAACATAATCAAAGGAACAAAAAGGAACAAAGTGAGGGAATTCATGAAATTAATATGAGACTTTTCGTTACATTACCGACAACAGTTCTTAAATTTACAACGAAATTCATACGAGACTTCTCAGCATAGTAGCAACGGAATTTTGCAATTCTAAGGGAGCACAGTATAATTTTTCTCAATAATATCATATAGTTTTTTCTCTACTTTGGTCCACCGTTACGTGTTGTTGAAATCAATGAGTGTTAAAGGAATTGTCAAGGGAATCGATTCAGGTATGTTAAGGCTATCCCTTCTTTCTTTTGGCATGATCCATACGATACGAACGAAACGTACAAATGCACAAATTCCATGAATGACGATATTCATAGAAATATTAGAGATATCTATGTTCATGAATTTTCATGTGTCATAATATTTTATCATCTATTCATGGGTCTCAGAAAAATATGAAAGTAGAACCGAGCTTACTTTATGATATTACTCAAAAGCAAAATTGTCTTATGACATTTCGAAAGATTTTATTAACGTGCTTTTCATGCATTGTATTCATGTATATTGACCCGTGGCTAGATGGCATTATATACGCATATATATGTATGTATATATATGTATATGGGATATGGAAAAGGTTATGACATTATATACGCACCCCACCTGATCAGCTGGTATACGCTGATAATTTTGCCCACAGTGGTCAAGATGATATGATGGGATGCCCTCAGAGGCTGATGATGTTATGAAACATATATCTATTCACGACATGACATTCATACGCATATGCATGGTACTATAATTATATCATGATTTACAAAGTTATTCAGACTTACAGGTTGAGTCATGTACTCCATATTTCTTCCATGTCTGTTATGTACTTATTTATGTTCCTTGCATACTCGGTACATTTTTTGTACTGACGTCCCTTTTGCCTGGGGACACTGCATTTCATGCCCGCAGGTCCCCGATAGATAGGTCGAGATCCCTCCAAGTAGGCTATCAGCTCAACGAAAGATGTTGGTGCACTCCATTTGATTCAAAGTTGCTTGTTTGGTTAGTTTGATTTAGACGTGTATTGTATGGTATGGCGGGACTCTGTCCCGACCTATATGACATTTATGTACTCTTAGAGGCTTGTAGACATATATCGTGTACGTGAAATATTATACGGTCTTGCCTGCCTATGTGTTGAGTTTATAAATGATTGTGTTGGACTATTAGAGTATGCCACATGTATATGATGATGTAATAAGAAAGATACATTATGTTGGTACTCGATTGAGTAAGGTACCGGGTGCCTATCGCGTCCCATCGGTTTGGGTCGTGACAGGAGGCCATTTGATTAGTGTTATTGCAAGGCTGGAAAACTTCCCATTAGCGAGGTAAGTGAGACTTTAAACTTTGATGCTTGCTTTTCCAAAACCGTTTTGAAAGTATGTTTTTTTTTGCCCGGTCCATGTATTGGATCAAACGTGCGCTTGGAAGAATCGGTGGTCATTGCCCAGCCGCAAATATATATTATTTTGTAAAAAGCTAGAATTATTTAATGAGTAATTTGTGATGTGGCATAGCCTCGTGCTATGTTGTTGAGGCATTAGAATTTATTCCTTTGCTGCCGTAACATATATTGGGGCATTGTGTATGCCGCCATTATAAATTTTGGGGAATTGTGTATGCCGCCGTTATAAATTTGGGGCATTATGTATGCCGCTGATATAAAATTTGGGGCATTGTGTATGCCGCCGTTATAAAATTTGGGGCATTGTGTATGCAACCGTTATACAATTTGGGGCATTGTGTATGCCACCGTGAAATATTTGGGGCATTGTGTATGCTGCCGTGGACTCAACAGGGTGTTTGGTTAATTTCCCGCACTGCCGTTAATGACAAGTCCTTAATGTAGATTGTGTTGAGATATAAATAATGTTGTTGTTGAATAATTGTTTAGACCTTATTGAGTAATTATATGGTGAAAGAATTTATGTGCATATTATTTCTGTGCTCTTTGTGTGTTTGTATTTTCTAACACTTGTTCCAGAGGTATTCAGAGTGGCAAGTCGATGATCTTACTGGGTTATATTTGTAGACATGTGATTTTTGACCCTCCCCAAGATTTTTTATATATTAGCGTAAAATATTTAATTTAGGCATAATATAGATATTTTAAGTAATTTTGATTCTTTTACTTTATTTTATTACAAGAAAACAAAAAATCACAAAAATAGGTTCATTAATGTTTTACAGTCATTTTTAATCTAAAAAAATCTAAATTATATACAACAATAGTATCGTATTTTTATTCTAATATGATATTTGAAAATACCAAAAATAGATTTGTTTTAATGGTTAGTGTTATTTTAATTATTATTTTAATAGTAGGAATAATTAACAAATGGGCCCGTATTTTTCATCTCATTCGCAGCGAAAGAATAGAGCTTGGGCTCGGGCAACCCATCTTTAGGCCTAATTTTGGACCTAGCCCGCAATTGCCAAGCTCATAATTCCTAGGCCCATACCCCTTAACCTAAAAACCCTACAAAACTAACCTAGACCTATGTTTATATAAGAAGTTAACACCTAACGAGAGGGGGTGGGGGTCTAAAACGAAAGCATTGCACAGGGATCTCTTTCTTCATCAACGAAGAAAGCTTCTTCGTTCAACAAGCTGAAACGAAGAAAGTAGCAAAAAAGCTGCGCTTGGAGGAAAACTGAAACGAGAAAGAGGCTGGGAACAAAAGAAGGTAGCTGCACATGGATAACAAAAGAAGGGGATGATAACGAAGAAGGGCTGAAAAGCAAAAAGCTGCGCGGACAAAAAATGACTCCACCCCCCTTTTGGATCGTTGTCTTCACGAGACTACCCCTGGCCTCGTTTTAATTTTCCTTCAGAAAACCAGAAAAAGGAGAACAATACAAGCACCCTCCCCACGTCTTCTTCTTCATCGAACGACCCCCCACGTAGCTTTCATCTTCTTCTTCGCTGGAACGATAGAAGAAAACCCTAGGAGCCTGAAAGAAGAAGCAGCGATGCCAACCAGCTTCGCCGGAAATCCGGTGACCTCACCCCTCTCATTCCATTACTGCCTCATCGGCAAATGACAACACAAACCAGCGACCAAACAACTTAAACCAGCCGCTGTTCATCGGAAACCAGAGGCACGATGTCACCGGCGACCACCATTGAAGCCGGCCAACACACGCACACACAGTCATGCACATGAACGGAGTGAGGGAGCGAGCGTAAGGCAGCTGATGTTTCCGAGTCATTTTTGAGTTCGAGTCATGTAGAATGTTGCCGCGATCTGTTCGTATGTCGAGGTAAGGCGGGTTCGGGTCCGGCGAGGTCGTAAATTTGTCGAGGTTAACGTTCGTAGCTCCGGTGCTGGTTCTGTTTACTTTTGGTCAGTTTTTCTTGCCTCTGATTATTCTGTTCACAAGTATTATTCATGAGTTTAATGCATCATTTGATCAATTTTCTTGTTTGGAATAGTTAGTTTATTTGCTTCAATTTAATGATGATCTTGAACTTCCATAAATGTGTTTTTGAGCTTCTGTCATTTTCTGCTCTGGGAGGCATCCCTTGGTGTGATATTTTCATTGTATAATTGACGTTGCTAATTTAATAAGTTTATCAGAGAACTTTGTGGATAGTTGTCTGCTACTAGGATATGTTTCGTTTCTTTGTAGAAAGCACTTTGTTGGTTGTTGAGTGTTTCATATTTTCGTTTCTTATGGAAAATTTATAATCCTAAAGATCTATATGAGATGATTAGCACATCAGCGTATAAGGTTAATTTCCCATAAAAATGAAAAGTTTCTGATAATGTGTTTATGTTAATGTTTATGTGTTTATGGAAATTAGTGCGCAATGTGTTGTATAGTCTTGTAAAATGAAAAGTTCACCGTGTGGATTAATTCGAAGTTGAGCCATTTGGGTTATTGGACATAAAACTAAAATTAGTGTTTTTTTGCTTTTAGGGATATTTGTTTGGTTTTGATTGTATACGAGCTGAGGGTCGGTTTGGTTTGCTAAATTCTAGCAGAACGTTAATAAGTCATTAAGTTCTCTTTTGGGTGAATATGACCGTGTTTGCTGGAAATTCATGGAAGTTGAAGGTCACATTTTTCTCTCACGTGCTATATTCATGATCTATGGCCTTCCTATAATCTCAAAGTTTCGGGAGAATAATTAATTGCGCTAGTTGCTTTAGGCGCGTTCTTTTAATAGTTTTACTTTCCTAAACTCGGGTGTGCATTTCATGTGACCCTACCATAATTTTGAATAATGATAGTAGAAGTGAACATGTTAAAACCCGGGGGTGCATTTCATGTGACCCAGTTCTAATTTCCAACAAGGTTAAATAGAGTGTGTCGTGAATCGCGGGTGCATTTCATGTGGTGTGGCTTGCGATATGTTTTAAATGACCTTGAATTAATTCTTTAAATAAGTAAAAGCAGTTTTCCAAAAGTTAGAAAAAGGCACATAGGTTTAAAAGTGTTTTAAAATCAGATAATTAGGCCGATTATAACAGTTGAGCGACCGTGCTAGAACCACAGAACTCGGGAATGCCTAACACCTTCTCTCGGGTTAACAGAATTCCTTACCCGGATTTCGGGTTCGCAGACTGTTAAACATAGTCATATTTTCCTCGATTCGGGATTCAATCGGTGACTTGGGACACCATAAATCTCCCAAGTGGTGACTCTGAATCTTTTAAATAAATCCCGTTTCGATTGTCCTTTTATTGGAAAAACTCCTTTACACCCTTTCCGGGGTATAGATGAAAAAGGAGGTGTGACAGCTCTGGCGACTCTGCTGGGGATCGAACCTAGAATATCTGGTTCAGGGTTCAAGAATTTGAGTTTAGAGTAATTGTTATAGTTGGTTTTATTCATTGTCTGATTTTGTTACATGATTTGGGCCTAATGTGCTAATTGATTGCTTTTACTGCTTTGATATTCCGTGAACTGTATATAAACTATTGCGAAATCCCTCTTCTTTCTGAGTCTTCTAAATCATGAAGAAGCGTGCACTTCGTGTGACTTCTTTTATGTTAGAATCATATTCCAAATTTAGAACGAGGTTTGGAAAAGTTGCAAAACCGGTGAAGCTTCTGTATTCCCGGTACGCTGCCCCCCCCTCGGCTCGAGCTGTCCGCTCGGGTAAGCTAGGTCTAGAACAATAAACCCAGGTTTTGAACCTAGAATAACTCAGCCTCATGCCGGATCCCTAGTAGGCACGTTTGTTTGCATCATGTGCATTTGACTTTGGGGACTCAACACAAGGGTTGGGTCCGTCTAGGACAGGTATACCCCAAAAATAAAAGACCATCCTGATGCATCCTATGTGCTACATGTTGCATTTCTTCAAGGGTAAAAGGGTTATTTGGCGGACCAATGTAATTGAGGGCGAATGAAAAAAAGAGAGAAAAGAGGAAAAAGAAAAGAGAAAAAAGAGAGGTTGAAGTGTGAGGATGAAGCGAGTAAAGCCCAATTATATTTTTGTTACATTTTATTAAGAAAAAAGAGCATGGAAACTTCAAAAAGATTTTGCACTCTTTATCATTTTTCAAAAATCAAAAAAACAAAATCGAAAAAAGAGAAAAGAAAATTTAAAGAGATTTTACATGTTTCATCATTTTCGAAAAAAAAGAAAAAGAAAAAATGTGTTTTCTATATGTCAGTTGTTTTTTTTATTATTCTCGCCCGTATCCAATCTGCCCGAACTACGCATACCTGATTCTCGTCTTTTGAGGCGTGATGCGTAGGCAACCCACATAGGGTCCGGTGTTCCTAGTAAATCTTAGGTTCTTGGCTTTGCGGGGTCTTAGCCAAATCTTGCGTTTTTAGCCACTTTCAGCCACATAGGTTAATTTTAGAAAAATGGTCACAACCATGTCTTGCGTGTGTCTAGTAAGGAATATTTTCATCTCACATAGTGTTGGTTTAAGTTTTCTCATACAGGTGTGGATTTATTTACCAGAGTTTAAGCATGACAGACACTCCATGACCATCCAGTCAGAATCGCTCAGTCGGGAGTTGCTTAAGGAGATTTGTTTTATTTTAATGTCCTGAGGCTGTTCTTCATTTTATGTCGTCTTTTACTTTCTAGTTTTGTACAGTAATGTCAAGCCTTTTGTTATTGTATTTTCTGGTTTATATTTGAAAATATTCCGTAACTCAAAAAAAAAAGAAGAGATGTTGCATTTTATATTTCGTTACAAATTTTCTTGAGAATATTAATTCTAGAAATGAAAAATTTGAGGTTGTTTTCCCTTTAGGCAATTAATATCTAGGACTTAAAATGAATTGTTTTGATGTTTCTTTAGTATATTAGGACCAAAATTCAAAAAAAGAGAATTTTATTTTAATGCTTCTTTAAAAGCTTTCTTTGAGGTGTTAATTCCAAAATTCAAAAAGATTTTCTTGTGAGGTGCTTCTTTGGGAAATTAGTGAAAAATAATTTTTTTTTTTTTTATTTTCATTAGAACTTTAGGATATTGTACATAAAAAAATATACTTTGTCTTTTGTCTATCATTAGAATTTTTCCTTTAGACAATCAAAATTGAAGTCCAAAAATATTTTGTTTTATTTTGTTTATTGCTTGTTTCGAAATCTTGCGCCAAGATATCAAATGAAAATTCAAAATATTTTTCTGTGGTTTATTCTTTAGATTTTCTTCATAAAAAAATGAATTAAGAAAAAAGAGAGGATTTTCTCTTCTAGGATTTTCCTTAATAGAGTATTTATTTCAAAAAAAAAGAGAGAGAGAAAAATCATGCTCATTAAGCTCGAGTTTAGAATAGGTCATAGAACGTTTAAGTCTACGAAATTCAAAAAAAGGATTTGCTGGTTTTATTTCTCTTTTCTCATCAGAGTAGTCGCTAAGGTAAAAGGAAAAAAGAGAATGTCAGTTTGTTTACTTTATTTCCATTCTTCCAGAACTACGCAAAGATCTGATTCATGCGGCGTCATGATATGTAGGCAACCTACATAGGGTCCGATCGAATCATTTTTTTTAAACTGTTAAAAGAAAAGGAACAAAAAAAAAGAGAAAAAAAGAGAGGCGAAATCGTGAGATGTGAGATATGAGAGAAAGAAAGAGGGATGATGAAAAAACAAAAAGAGAAATGAAGGAGAATGGGCAAGCCAACAAGTGCTAGAAAAGCAAAGAAAAGAGAGGTTGAAATGAACAAATTGGGATGATGCCAACTGGCCTTTGTACCCTCGAAGTCATTTTAGAACTGATAACTGTGGCTAGGTGCATTGCACATAAAGTGAGATTATCTTATGTTAAATGCCCTAACGCTAACGTGATGGCTTCATTTTGTTATATTCATAGCAGAAGGTTGGTTGATTTGTGGTTTTTAAAGTGGTAACTCTTCTCTATAACACAAAGTCACAAGGCAATGGCAAACAACAACAGAACTGAGTTGGTTGATACCGGTGCCCGAAAGCAGTTGGTTGAATAGATAATGGGTTGGCTGAAGAGGTAATAATGTTGAGACAACACATGGCAGACATGTATCGGGTTTGGATGATTGGGAAGGCACCACCCCCGCCACCTCCTAGATTCCTAAATGCCACCCTTACCCAAACACCGGTCACAGTGCCAGATGATCCCCCATACTCTCCAGATTCACCCGCTTACCATGGCTTTCCCAACCACTCTAGTAGCTCCGTCACTCGTCTTCCAATTACCTTTCTCAAAAATTGCCCTCCTATCTTATCCACCATCCCCAACAATGAACACCCACTCAAAGCTCACGATGCCCAATATTACCCCTCAGAGGCTGCCCACAAGGTTCCCAACTCATATAAGTAGGATCCGCGGGATGGGTCTCATGTTGTAAATGAAAGAGTTCACAGGAAGAAAAGGGCGAGATGGGATACCCAGGAGGCTAAAAGGCCTAGAACAGTCTTCAATGAACAAGCAAGGAATAGGAGACCAGGGTAGCATGTCTTACAAAGAATTGTTTATGTCCCCCGACGTTCATCTTCCTGCGAGGTTTAAAGTGCCAAAGTTTAACTTATATGATGGGTGTGGGGATCTGGTAGCCCATTTGAGGGATTATTGCAATAAAATGAGAAGTGTTGGCGAGAAAGATGATTTGTTGATGGCGCACTTCAGTGAGAGCCTGACTGGGGCAGCATTGGAATCGCATAATCGTCAAGATGTTGGTAAATGGCCTAAATTGGGTGACACGGCTCAAGATTTTGTTCGATACTTTCAATACAGATCAGGTGTTACCCCAGATCGCTCCTCCCTATCTAAAATGGAAAAGAAGCCGGAGGAAAGCTTTAGAGAATTTGGACTCAGATGGAGGGAGCAGATTGCTCGAGTCAATACCCCGATTGGGGAAGAAGAAATGGTTGAGCTCTTCCTAAAAACCTAGGGGCCCACCTACTTCAGTCATTTGATTCCGGCCTTGGGAAAGCCTTTTAGTGATGTGTTAAAAATGGGGGAGATGGTAGAAGAGGGAATCAAATCAGGTAAAATCATGAGCTGTTCGAAAGACATTCAGAACATCCCTGTAAGCTTGGGTGGAATAAAGAGAAACAGAAAAGATGATCCGATGGGCTTTCCCGATCAACACTTCCAACCTCGACATCGTCCCCGGGGATATCCTGATGCACCAGATGATCCTCCCCAATGCCACTTCTCTCCACAGAACTCCCAAAATCGCACATCACTCTCTCAGTACCCAGGTCCACAAAATGCCTATCCACCCCTACGAGCCTATCGAAAACCCCCTGGATCAGGTTTCCGGCCCAATCAAGCATTTAAGAATGAGAGGTTGCTGAAAAAAGAAAAGGCTTTCACCCCATTGGGAGTGTCATATGCCAGTTTGTTCCAAAAGTTGAAGCAATTGGACATGTTGAAGCCGATTCATATAAAAATGCCAAACCCTCTGTCAAAGAAGTTTGATTTTTCTCAAAAGATGCCCCGGGGCATGACGTAGAGAAGTGTTGGAATTTGAAGAAAGCAATTCAGAAGCTTATTGATGCAGGTGACATTGTCGTGCAAAATCCAGATACAGCAGACACTAGCCAAAGTCCATCCCTTGCTCACAATGAGACGCATATAGTGAGTATGATTTGTTTTGAAAAGGAATATGAAAATTCTTCTGAGATCCTCGAAGGTCCACGCGCTGCAAAGTTTTCAGTGCTATCAGAGGCTAATCTTAAGAACGATCCAGCAAAGGGAACCCAAAAGCAATTTGTTAAGAACAATGTGATGGAAGTTTGTGAAGGTCCTAGTAATGTTGATGCAGAATTCAATGGCTAAGATGCCGAGCTTGGCAATGAGAAAGACTCTCCTATCTTGGTTAGCCAGGGGGGAGTTTTGGTGGTCTATTTTATTATCATTTCTGTTGTCCGGGTTATTTCAGGATTGTAATCCAGATATTGTCTTGTGACTCAAACCCTTCAGTCCTCTTATTTTGCCTAGTTTGTTTAGTCTGGTAGCCTACTTAGTGTTTTCTAGGTTTGTTCTAGGTTTGTAACCCCAGTCTAATTTGTCTGTTTTGTTGTCCAAACCCTTTCACCATCTGTCTAATGCAAGTTTCTGTTTTTTGTTATTTTCAGTCATTTTTGTTTAGTTCTCTTTTCCTTTTATAGTCCTTTTCCTGTTGACTCTAGTGACGTGACATGCATGCATATTTCTCAGCCGGGTTTTAAAAGTCAGTTTAATCACGAAGTAATGAAACAATGTTGAAGATGTAAGGACATTTGAGGAAAATAAGTAAAGGCATTTTGAGATCACTTCAAGCCCGAATTGTGTGAAACTGGGGCAGATAGAACATAAAGAATCCCTATTGAAATGCATCCCACCGCATCAATTTGAAGATAAAAGCAAGTTTGCCCCAAATTTGTAGGGGGCCGTTCGCGGTAATGAGAGTGAGAGTGTTGTCCAATGGTGCTTTGTATATAACAAATGTAGAAGGCGAATGTGTGTGTACGGTCATCAAGTCTGGCGCAACCAAAAGATGTTACGAATGTTTTCCTTGATTTGTTTAATTGTGTTGTTTGTACTTGGCAGGTTTTGAAGGTTGGAATGACGAAGGCATTTTGTTCCGCTATCTAAAAACTTTATCCCTCGTCACCCCTTTTGAGCTTTATTTATTTTCTTTCATACCCCTCTTTTGGAATCAGTAGCGAATATCAGAAACACAAACATAAAAGATAAGAAAAGGAAGAAAGAAAGAGAGAAAGAAAAGGAAAGAGAAAGAAAGAAAGAAAAAGAAAAAAAAAGAAAAAAGAAGGAAAGAGAAAAGAAAAAGAAAAAGAGAAAAGCAAAAGAGAAAAGAAGAAAAAGAAAAAAAGAGGAAAAAAAGAAAGAAAAAACAACAAAACAACAAAAAGAGAAAAAGGAAGAAAGAAAAGAAAAGAAAAGAAGAAAAGAAAAGAAAAATCACAACAATAGAGCAATTCCTATGCTATGAACTACGTTTGACCTGATTCCTTTTAAGGATTCGTAGGCAGCCTCACAGTTCGGTCCTATCGAAACAAAAATCCAAAAGTCCCCAAGCAAGAAACTGGGGCAGAATTTGTGTTTGTTGCAAGAAATCGGATTCCGAAAGTTGTAATTTTGAACCCATGAGATTTGGTTTGAGCTTTTGATACCCTTTCTTTCTAACCCTATCCAAAAAGCCCACATTACGGTCCAAAGAAAGACCTTCCGATCAGTCTTCGAGAGATGCCAAGTCAAGCAAGGAGAGGTAATTCATATCGGGGGCAACACTCTGGTCCAACCAGAAAAATAATGAAAATAAGGGAGTCTTATTGGTGAAAACCCTCACGGGCACCGTAAGGCGACGGGAGCTGAGAGAAGTCAAAAATGAGAGAGTCTTATTGGTGAAAACCCTCACGGGCACCGTAAGGCAACGGGAGCTGAGAGAAGTAAAAAATGAGAGAGTCTTATTGGTAAAAACCCTCACGGGCACCGTAAGGCGACGATAAGTTGAGAGAAAGAACAAATGAGAGAGGCTTGATAGTGAAAACTCTCTGGGCACTACAAGTCGAATAAGGATTGTGAGTCAGATTGGATAAT